TTATGGTTTATATTAATTTCCCAGACAGCTGAATCTTTGTGAAAATACTTGTATGTCGTTTCTTCATCTTGATTTTTTCTTGAGTAAAAAGTTGTGCTTAGTATGATTGCAAACAGCCAAATTAGTGCAGATATTTCTTTACAAAATATGACGTGCAATAATTTGTCCTAGACCAATAAAATGACTTGCAATAGTGGTAACCCATGAGATTTTTATCAAATAAAGTCTTGTACCTATTAATTTCACCAGATATTTTTAGAATTAAAATAATTTTAAAAAAATTCTTTGATCCTAGTTTTCACCTTAAATATGTACTTAAAAATAGAATTAAATGGACTCGGTTGTTTGAGCTCTTTCACTTCCACCCATGCTGGAAGAGGTTTGAAATGAAACCCAAGACACCCAAAGAATATTTGTGTAAACCATACTCCCCAATCACTTGTACTTAAAAAATGAGAGAATAGAATTAACTGCAGACCTGGCTATCGCTTGTATAAAAAAGAAAAATAATAAAAGTAAATTGAACTTTTCTTGGAAGTTAGGTGTAAAGAGCAAATTATATGGTGCGTTTAGTGGATCCACCTATTTCATTGCTGCATGGGTGCAGCCCAATCTTGTCTAAGGCCCAATTTCAATATTCCTCATATTTAAAGGGAAAGCCCAATAGAAGTCAAACCATACGATACGACTGCTTTTTTAGTCAACGCTCCAAACTTCGGGGCTTCTCTTTTTAATGGCGAAATTGGCAATGAAGAAGCTGAGGCTGCTGGCAGTGCTCTGGTCTGGTGACGATGACGTCAGTGGCGGTGGCGGTTAAGGGCGGCGGGAGCTCAGGAAGCCGGCGCGCTGTGAAGTGGGCTGTGGAGAATCCCATGCCCAAAGCTGATCGCTTCGTCTTAGTTCACGTCATCCCCAAAATCACTTCAATTCCAACTCCATGTATATATATATATTCCTTCTCTGCCTGCTTTGTTTGGTTGGTGCATAAAATAGTAGGGAAGTAAAAATTATGATTTTGGATTTTTCTTCTCTTTTCTTTTTAGTTTTCTCGAGAATCGAACAGAAGCTGCTTTCTCTGCACGTGATTTCGAGAAGCTAAACAGAAATGGACAGAACCCATTAATGAGCAAGATACCAAACTAAAAAATTTATGAAATTTCTTAGCCATTGGAATGTACATTTAATCTTCATGGACAAACAGAGCATAAGCGCCTCTCTTGTGAGTTACTTACTAATGTTTTGGGTGTTGGTGTTGTGGTTTCGGCAGCAGGAGATCACATCCCTGTCACAGAGCTGGATGCGAAGTTGGTGGCAACGTATGTGAAGGACATGAAAGAAAAGTTTGAGGAAGTTTTTGATCCATTTAAGAACAAATGCAAAACTAAAAAGGTGAGTTTTTTTTTTCGGTCTTCTGTATGAATTTAGCTATCTTCTGTTCAAATTTACAGTCTCAAAAGCATAGAATGTGTGTTCATAGCTCATTATAAGTTATAACTTTTGTAGGTGGAAACGTTGGTGTTAGAAGATGATGATCCTGCAACTGGGCTTCTAAGGTTCATATCTGAGTCGGGGATCAATTGTTTGGTGTTGGGTTCTTGCTCTTCAAATTACATAACCAGGTATGGGGCCAAAACTACTCATTTAATCTCCCATTATAACTTGTTACAACGTTTCTGTTGGGTAATCTTTTTAGATGAAATTACTTTTTTCGGCAATGTTACTGTGAATTTGTAGCTACTACTTTATAAATGGATCCAATTGTCATTTATTTTCTTGCTGTTTTTTATTTTCTATATCTCATGTCTTGGATTAGATTGTGGCATTTTTCTAATTGATTTAAAAAGGCTAAGTTTCCCATGATAACTTGTTTAGGAAACTGAAGGGACCAGGGGTATCACAAATTGTTCTTAGATGTGCTCCTCACACTTGTGATGTTTATGTCATTTCCAGACACAGAATCATCAAAAATTCAGATGGTTCCTCATCTGCTTTTGGTATGTTACAAGTGCGTTTTTTAGTTGATGCATATGTGATGTCCTTAATTGTTTATTTTCTCACATCAGAGACAAGCTCTGCTTGCTGGATGTCTACTCAAGGAGACCATAAGAGAGGTACAAGTGATATCAGTGAACATATATCCGGTGTTCGTTCTTTCCATGTGGAATCCACAGCTCATGAAGCTTATGGAGCATCTCCAATGTCAGACCTTAGTTACCTAAGTTCTGAAGCATTTACACGTATGGGCTTTTCTGAAAATGCTAGTGTAGATCAGGAAACGAATCATCATAACTTGGGAGATAAGCTGGCAATTAGTTCTTTTCATCATCAAAGTTCCTCAGTTTCTTCAAATACTGGGCAGGTAAATTGCACTGAACATTTTTCTCAACTGCTGAATTCTGCTTTTAGAATTTTGCAGATATACCTATCATCCTTAGATTATGCTTGGGTGAGTTTTGAATTTTGTTATGAACTTTTGTTGTTTGAGTCATATATGCAGATGGAGGTAGAACAGTTGCGTCTGGAATTGCAGAATACTATTTCCATGTACAAACGAGCATGTGAAGAGCTGGTCCATGCCCAGAGCAAGGTGAGATGTTGATTATGAAGTGTTCTGCCAACATGTAAAAGTCAAGAAAATGGAAACAAATATTTCATTACTAACAGGCTTTGTTCTCACTAAGTCTGAAAAGGCAAGTTTAATTTTTGACGTCTAAGTTAGCATTTTTCTTTTGCTTGCGTTACTGATTGATCTCCCATATCATCATTGTTGTTTATATTATCAGGTGCAATTACTTTCTTCTGTGTGCCTTGATGAAGCAAGAAGAGTGGATGCTGCCCTTGAAAGTGAGGAAACTTTGAGAAAAATTGCTGCTGAAGAGAAAGAAAAGCATTTGAAAGCCATGAAGGAGATTGAGGAGGCCAAAGTTTTGCTTGCTAAAGAGGCTTATGAGAGGCAAATTGCCGAGCTGAATGCCATGAAAGAGTCCTCAGAGAAAAAGAAATTAGTAGATGCACTTTTCTCAAGTGACCGAAGGTACAGGAGATACAGTAGGAATGAAATAGAGGTAGCAACAAGTTTCTTCTCTGAGGCTAATGTGATTGGCGAAGGAGGATATGGAAAAGTTTACAAATGCAGTCTTGATCACACCCCGGTAGCTGTTAAGGTTCTTCGACCTGATGCAGTCAATAAGAGAGAGGAGTTTCTGAAAGAGGTATTTATGTTTTACACATAGTTGAGAACTGGTCAGTTAATTTGTTATGGCTGTTTCATGAACCTATTTAATTGTATAAGTCTAGCGTTAGCGTCTTCCTGTAAATCATGAACAAAATATTGCTGCCAAATATCCTGAGATCAGACTTGTTCTCTGCCAATTTTTCTTCAGGTCGAAATTCTTAGTCAGCTACACCATCCGAACATAGTTTTGCTGCTTGGAGCCTGTCCGGAGATCGGTTGCCTGGTCTATGAATACTTGGAAAATGGTAGCTTGGAAGATTATATCTCCCAACCGAATGGAAGACCCTCACTCCCTTGGACTGTTCGGTTCCGCATAGTTTTTGAAATAGCTTGCGGGCTTGCATTCTTACACAGCTCCAAGGTGGAGCCTATTGTGCATCGAGATCTAAAACCGGGTAATATCTTACTAGACATAAACTACATGAGCAAAATCGGGGATGTTGGGCTGGCTAAACTCATTTCAAATGTCGTCCCTGACAGCATCACTGAGTACAGAGAATCAATTCTTGCCGGGACACTCTTTTACATGGATCCAGAGTATCAGAGAACTGGCACAGTTCGTCCCAAATCAGATTTGTATGCTTTTGGGGTTATAATCCTCCAAGTATTGACAGCTCGCCATCCAAACCGGCTTATATTTATTGCAGAAAATGCAATGGCAAATGGCTCATTTGCAGACATTTTGGATGACTCTGTCACAGATTGGCCTCTTGCTGAAGCAAAGGAGTTGGCTCGAGTTGCACTAAGATGTTCACAACTTAGATGCAGAGACAGACCAGATCTTGAAACTGAAGTTCTTCCAGTGCTCAAAAGACTGGTTGGTCTTGCAGATTCAAATTTGAAGATTGACAGAAATCATGTCGATGCACCAAGCCACTACTTTTGTCCAATCCTTCAGGTAAAGCACTCGTTGGGCTTGCAGAGTTTACTTTCTATTTGAATTTTTCCATGCATCTCATATCTTGCTTCTCTCCACCATGCAGGAAATAATGGAAGATCCACACATTGCTGCAGATGGTTTTACGTATGAGTTTAGAGCAATCAAAGCATGGCTTGAGAAGCACAATGTGTCCCCAGTGACAAGGCTTAAACTTGAGCATTCTGCGTTAACTCCAAATCATACCTTACGTTCAGCCATACTGGAATGGAGGACACATGTAACATACCCAAGTACCTAAGTGGAAAGACATGTGCACCACTTCTTGCAAGCTTTTTAAACCAGAAACTACAAAATCTGGATTGAATTTGTGTTCTCTTTCTTGAAAATGTGCAGATGAAACCGAGCATTCGAAATCCTTGTACAAAACCATCAAAGCAACTATAAAAACAATCAAATACTCCAATTTCATATATGTTATTTTAACTGAGACATCAAAATCAGCAACCAAAAATAACTGAAATGTGAACCCAAAAAAATAACCATGTGAATGAATTGGAAAAAAAAAAAGTTAGAAGTTTCAAAAATTGGTTTTTAAAGAAGAAGAATGAAATATTCCAATTTGATTAGGATATTACGAATTTGCCACCCATCAAATTTTCCTCTCTATTTATGTTTTTTTAATTAATAAAAGTTATGTTAGGAAATAAATATAGTGGAAGGCTGGAAGCATGCAAGGTAACTTTTCTTTTTTAAATTTAAATGTTATATTTTCCATCTATAAAAAAAAACATGGCTAGCCTATTTGACACAAAATTTGAGTCTCTACAATCATGCTTCTCATTTTTTAGTTATTTAGCTAAAAACACACAAAAGCTATTTTAGAAATTCTCTATAAAATTTGAACTCCAATCATATTCCTCAGTTTAAGGAGTCATACAATTACTCGTTATAGTGGAGGCAATTACACCAGTAGCAACAATCTCTGTTTTAAATGTATAATCATCTGTACAAACTCTATAATTGCTATTCGTTCCTAAACCTAATGGAACCATGAAAGCATTAATGTCCCAAGTTATGCTATGGATGTTGCAGCACTCAAGCTTCAGCTATCAACTTGTGTAAATTCCAGAGCATTTGCATCCGGGTCTCGTGTAAAAATAGCTGGCCTCCCAGACTTGCTAAGCGTGTAGGGAATACCTGCAGTAGCAAATCGCAATGTAAGCTGCCCGGATTCCTCTTGAAAATCAACATCTGTTTGAGATATGATCATAAATGAAATAACAACATCAGACGAGAAAATTAACACTTGCCAGCTTTGTCAAGGATTGCTTTGAGCTTAGCCACATCTCGGATTGCAATACAAGTATGACGATCACGGCCTCCATGTTCAGGTCTTCCAGTTAAAGGATCAGGATTGGGAAGCTCCATAAGATGAATCATCTCAGAACCAACCCATAACCAAGCACCTCTATAGGGGAGCTTGTCATGAGGCCTAGCCTCATTTATCTCAAGACCTATTTTCATCAAAGCATTGTTTTTTAATCCCAAGTTTTATAGAGTCATGAACTTTTACAATGTATAATATATAAAAGGAGCAATACCAAGAAGATTCTGATAAAAGCTGAGAGACCTTTCCAGGTTTTCGCACAGCAATCCAACATGGTGGACACTAACAACTCCAAAATCTGCATCAGTATCAGCATATAAACCAAGTAAGATTTCATGCCAGAGAGAAACAGAGAATGTATATGTACTATCAAAGAGAATCTAGTCTGACATGGCCAACAGGCAACAAATCAAGCTTTTGGTTCCTTTTTTGCTCTTAATATTCCATAACATGGGGCATCTCTTCAACATCTCTCACAAACAAAAGTTCTTGAACCACAAACAACCATTAAAAATTATGTCTATTTCCAAAAAAATTTCTTTCTCTGAGCTGAAATTTCCAATGACCCGACTTAGCAAGCAAGTCATGGTAATCAAATGAAGTGATAAAAGAATAAGAGAGTCACCATTTTTGTCCTGAACACTGACTGATTGTTTCTCAAGCACATCTCCTTCAACAGTCATCTTAGATTTTGTCACAAAACACCGCCCATGACGTCTAGAATTTCTCAGACCAGTCTGGTCAATTTTGGATGATGGGTTCGTAATTAAAGTGCTGACCCTCATGCGATCTTCCTGCAATCAACAAATGGACCGACCCAAAATAAGAAAAGCAAAACAAAATTATACTGTTAAGAAAATTAAATCCAAATACCGGTGCTTGGAGGCTGCAAGACACAGCGGGAAATGATAAAATTCCCTTGAGTTGCAGAGTAGCAGTGGGGGGTGTGATGAGAAGGGAAGCCATGGAAGAGCAGCTGCTCATCTGGGTTTTTTGTCTGTTTGTTCTTTGTTGTGTTCTTTGTGAACCTTGAATCGCAAATTCACGATGGTTGTTGGCCTCTGACCAGTCCGTACACTTCCTGGCTCGCAATTTTTTGCAGATATAATATAATAATGATAAAGAAATTTAAAATCCTCAGAAAAAACATGAGCCATTGCTTCGTGTTTTGGGCGATTATGCAATATTCAAAAAGATTTGGTGGAGATGTGTCAAATTATTTCTCACACATTTACCCGCCAAAATAAATTATTTTTCACATAGATAACAGACGAGGTTGCTCGTGAGAGTTGAAGATTTTGTTGCATTTGTAGTTTAGTCGCTTAGGCGTGTGGTGTGGTGTTCTATGCCCGATCTTTCTAGGCTCGCGGTATTGGTTACCGTACGTAATCTCTCTGGCCATGTGTGGCTACGATGGGAGTTTCAATGTTGATGTCGGTAAACTCCTCCTTATACGGATAACTTTTTATAGTTATTGCGCTTTCGTATTTGTATCAACTCTAAATGGATCTTTATATATGTTCTTATATTGGCATTTACGGCTAATGGTTTTTGTGCTTAATTTATAAATGCAATCTATCGTTTATTTTTAAATAATAAAAAAACTCTAATGAAATTGTGTTTTTCACACATTTCCCCGCTAAAACTATGTAATGATTTCTTAATGTTATATACTATTTGTTTATTAAGTATGAGTTATATGAGGTATGAAAGGATAATTTTGAGACCTAGAACTTTCACCAGTTGTCTAGTTTTGTAAAAATTGGTATAGATATAAGCAATTACAAAATATGTATGTTATACGTACACGTGTAATTATTTACTTTTTTTTTTACCAAACAACAGATTTATTTTAAGCACAATGAAAAGTTCAACTACAAAAAAGCTAACCATTGAAAAAAAACAAACTTAAACAAAAATGCTGAAGTGGCAAGTTTAAGAACTTGGTAGTATGTGTATAATATAATATGAAAATATGGGTCTAACCCCTACGACAATGTAAGCAACAAAAACCATAATTTCTTTTGTTGGTCAAGACAAAAAAAACAATAATTTTCTTTTTTTTGACATTAATGAAGAAAACTTTCATGTCACACTCCTTCGTCATTTACAATTTAACTCTAATATATATAATCATTTATAAATCATGAGTGTCGCATAAACACAAAACACGCACACACACTAACACATACAATAATGCTCCCCTTCTCCAACATAATGTTCATGCTTCTATTGATTAATTTTGAATAACATTGCTTTGACTATTGTCTATTGAAAATATTAATAATAATAAAAAATAATAACAACAAGAGTTGGCTTTTTTCAACCACTTGATCAAATTTGAAGACTAATATGTGTATAAATGAGTTGACATGCAAGTCAAGTTAATAAAACAATATGAGGCTCAAAAAATGACCACCAAAGAGGTCATCCTTGCCAACAAAAAAAAAAAGACAAATTGAAAATTATTAAGATATCTAATTGTAATCAACAAAATCAATGAACACGGTACTTCAAGAATGTATTTAAATTTCAATAATTTAATTGTGTGGTCAAATGATATTGAATTCAAGTGATTTTTTTTTATAGAGATGATCTTTGAATGAATATATACAAAATAGACGGTTCGAGTTAGTGAAATACAAGATGGAGTGGGTCTTACAAATAAGCTTATTTGAGGGATTCCTCAATGGAAGCTCTTTGTATATATAGTGGATAGTTGGGTTATTATTATGGATGAATTCACACTAAACAAATATGAGCAATTAAATTATTTGGATATTTGTTTTAAATTTGGATTTTGATTGCGATGTTTATGTCGATATGTAGAATGTCAAACAGTTTCTATTGCAAGTGTGATTCACAGCGCTGGTCCTCAAACTTGTACATATATAATTAGTAACTATCAATCAATAAATTTCAAAATGAAAACGTTGACCACTAATTTGCGGGTCAATGGGTAGCTATGGACCATTTTAAAACAAATGAAGTCAATATTACTATAAATGCTACGAAAGATAAACATGTGCTACACGAGCAAATAAATTTACATGGTTAGAAACTTAGAACACAGTAACTGTTATTTTTGTGTGCGGGTATTTTAGTAATTGTAAATTTACCAAAATCTAATGGGATCATCTTAGGAAAAAGGATCTAGTCCAATGAAAATGGCATTAACTTGCAGATTTCTTAGATTCGAACCCCTATGACATCAGTTTTGTGTGAGAGAGAAACCATCTCCCCTCTAGTTTAGACTATCACTTGTACTAATGGGATCATCTTAAATAAAAAGAAAAGTGAGATGAGTGGTAGAGTTTCATTAAAAAGTATCGAAAATCCATTTTAGTATTTATTTGAGATCTTATTTTAGATTGTTCACACTGCACAATAATAAAACACATTATTAAAAAGAGTAATGCCACTCTTATTATATTTGTATGCCACATTCTCATACCACCTTATGTGGCAGATGAAGTGGACAATCACATCAATTAAAAAATATCAATAAATCATAAAAGAAAAGAAAATGTTATATTAATTTTAATTGATGTGAATGTTCACCTCATCTGCCACATAAGGTGGTATGAAAATGTAGTATACAAATGTGATAAGAGTAGCATTAAATGATAACTCTTATTGCACATGAAAACAAAAACAAAAAAGGTCAAAAAAGCAGCATATATTTATCTACAATTACGATAGTTGCACTTTCTGCCCGCTGATTTTTAATCGGGACACCGTTTTTAGAGAACAGCTATGCTCGGGAGAGTTAGGTGTGTAAGTCCCACTGTTTTGGTGGATGTTAATATCAATAAAATCATTATTATTTTTAGTTAGAATTAATTTGGATCATCTATATTTTTTATTTCCTTGTAAATTTTGTAGTATCTTTCTTAATTTAGAAGATTTTGGATTTTGGATTTTCTATGCTAATAACTTAGGGGTGATCATGGGCGGAGCTAGAATTGTAAAGTTGAGGGGGCCGAAGTAGAAAATACAAGTATATAAAACACCTAAGTATTCAATAATTACATGTTTAGAGCTAAATATTTCTAATTGAGTCATGTCTAATTTGTTTTAGAGGAAATTTTAACCTCAATTATAAGTTGTTTATTACAAATTTTATATGTTATATATAATATAATAGAGGAGAGATAAAAATCTGGGGGCCCAAAGCCACTCCAAGCCTAGTAGTGGCTCTGCCACTCCAAGCCTAGGAGTGGCTCTGCCACTGGGGGTGATCCTTGGAGCTTATAAATAGCATCACTCTCTATCATTTCTATCATCCCGCATCTCTCATCCCTTCTACAATCATCATATTCATTTTTCTACTTCTCTCGAATTCTATTATATTTTTTACTTGCCAAATAAATGCGTTTCTTTTGTGCAAACAAGTGTTAGTCATACAACATTTCAGTTAGGTTATATCATGGACAGGACAAGTCAATACATCACTAATGTAACGGTTTGTGGGCTCGGCCAAACTGCAGTTGGCTTGAATAACCTTGAAGAGATTGAGATATTCGGCGCCTCCTAATTGTCTACATACTTATTGGAATAGAAAATAATTATTTGATTTTTTTAATTGTAATTTCCCACCCAAGAAACACTCCTACAACTGTTTTCACTTTGAGAGGGGAGGAAGTCACTGTTCGTCCTCCCCTCTCCCCTATTCTTTTCCTCCATTCTCTTCTTCCCCCACTTTTAGAGACAGAAGGTTTCCCCTATTTTGTCTTCATTTAGTTATGATTTTCATTCAACCATCACATGCGGCTATGTCTCAGCGTCGGATCTCCACATGCGTTTCGGCATCAGATCTCTACCAGCATCCATTTTGCGATTTTTTTTATGTTTGGAATGAGTTACAGAGACTTGTTGGGTGCTCTGTGTGGTTCCTTTTGTGAGAGTTTTTCACCTCTCCTTTGTGAAAGCTTTTAATCACTCCTTTGTGAGAGCTTTATTGTATTGTTATGGTTTGGTTGTTTCAAGTTTTATCTCTTTTTTTATTATTATGAGGTTGCAATCTTAGTTGGAATGCTTATGCTGGAGTTTCTTCGATCCTGCATGATTGTTAGTGGAGCCGCACCAGATTGTCGATGTTAGATTGCTCCGTTATTGTAATGGTCATTTGTGGCTAGCTTTTATTAAAAAAATATGACGGTTACATGTTTAAAAAAAAAACCATCTATGAAATTCTATAAATACATCAATAATTTATATGAAAAATACTCCAACGGTTTGGTTTAAATTTTTTATGGCGCGAATTCAAACGATTTAGTTTCAAATAGTTTTTGGTGCAAAATATTTACATTTACTTGATACCTCATAACCTGTAAATGATTACATGTATTGAGAGTTTACTTTGAAGGTTTCTAAGATCTAACGGTTTTACCGGTGAAGAAGTGAAACATGGTGCTTTCTTAGAAACGGCAATTTAAGCGTATCTAAAACAGAAAATAATGAATCTTAGGGGGGGCCTTTTTGATATATATTTACTAACAAAAGTTGTTTAGGAATTGAATACAAGCAAAGTCACTATTTCACTTATTCTCCACTTTTTTGTTTTTTTTTGCTCTTTCCTTCTTCATTCCCTCAGTCCCTAAAAACGAAGCTTCTCCCCTCCTCCCTCCCCCCTCCCTTATTATTCCCAACGTTTCTACCAAAAACCATCAACAAGATCTCACCGCGTAAATGTTCTCAACTCTCCAAACCAATCCAAAAAAAGTCAAGTCTCCGTCAAAAGCCCCCCGCGTTCACACCTGCGCACACGCTTCCTAAACCCCCCTCCTCCCCCCCCACAAATATATAAATATGACCAGAGCCCAACCAACTTCTCCATCATCATCATCATCATCTCCAGTTCATATCCAAACTCGGAATTCAAGTTCACACAGACATTTCTTCAAACACTTTCACACCAATCCAAAGCCTTTCATGGAAATCACATCGTTCCCATTTCTTAGTCAAGAAGATTACTCCCATTTCTACACTCTGTTCCCCGACATGGACGATTTCGAAATAAATGGAGAGGGTGGCTTGAAGAAGCGGAGAAGAAAGGAGGACGACAGCAACAACAACAACAATGGCGCAATGAGCGACATACTCACCACGCTGATTTTGCTGGATGAGGAAGAGAAGCAGGAGCAAGAAGAGTTCTTTGTTCAAACCCAGCAGGAAAAATCGATCCTTGAAGCCAATCACAGGCAGAAGACTCAAGCTATGAATGAGTACTTGTCTGATCTTCAACAGAACCATGCTCAATCTGACGAATTGGACCAGTCTCGCGCGAAACGGACTCACCAATCGGCATTTGCGGCGGCTGCGGCGGCTGCCGAGACTGCGAATTCGGGTGCGGGTTCGGAGTCGGGGTCGGCTGTTCCGGCTGCGGGTCCTCACCGGAGGCTATGGGTCAAGGACAGGAACAAAGATTGGTGGGATAAGTACAACAATCCAAACGTTTCGGACGACGAGTTCCGGGAGGCGTTTCGGATGAGCAAGGCCACATTTGACATGATCTGCGAGGAGCTTGATTCAGCCGTGACGAAGAAGAACACAATGCTGCGCGACGCGATTCCTGTTCGGCAGCGGGTGGCGGTCTGCATATGGCGGTTGGCTACTGGCGAGCCGCTCCGGCTGGTTTCGAAACGTTTCGGGTTGGGCATCTCCACCTGTCACAAGCTGGTTCTTGAGGTTTGCTCTGCTATTAAGACTGTTCTAATGCCCAAGTTTCTTCAGTGGCCTGACGAGAACAGAATGAAAGCTATCAAGGATGAGTTTGAAGCCAGCTCTGGGATACCAAATGTTGGTGGGTCGATGTACACAACCCATGTTCCAATTATAGCTCCAAAGGTGAATGTTGCAGCTTATTTTAACAAGAGGCACACAGAGCGCAACCAGAAGACCTCTTACTCCATTACAGTGCAAGGGGTTGTTGATCCAAGAGGTGTTTTTACCGATGTTTGTATTGGCTGGCCTGGTTCTATGCCTGATGACCAGGTATTGGAGAAGTCAGCTTTGTTCCAGAGAGCCAACAGGGGCCTTCTGAAGGATGTTTGGATTGTGGGAAATTCTGGGTTTCCTCTAACAGATTGGGTTTTGGTTCCTTACACCCACCAGAACCTTACTTGGACCCAACATGCGTTCAATGAGAAAATTGGAGATGTTCAGAGGGTTGCTAAAGATGCTTTTGCAAAGTTGAAAGGGAGGTGGTCTTGCTTGCAGAAGAGGACTGAGGTCAAACTCCAGGACTTGCCAGTGGTGCTTGGGGCTTGCTGTGTTTTGCACAACATTTGTGCCATGAGGAATGAAGAGCTTGATGCTAAGCTAAGTTTTGATATCTTTGATGATGAGATTGTCCCTGAGAATAGTTTGAGGTCTGCTACTTCAGTGCAGGCTAGGGATCACATTGCTCATAATTTGTTGCACCATGGCCTTGCAGGCAGTGCTTTTCTATAGTGATTTTTTTTGAGTTTCAGTTTTTGTACTGTATTTTTAGTCATTCATTTGGCGCTGCCTTTGTTGTAGTCATATGTAGAGTAAATGGTATAGAAATACAGCTTGGCTTTGATAGCTTTGTGTATAAAAAGAGTATTTAGCCTTCTATGTAATAGCATGAATATAGTTCATTCTTGATTTCTCCTGTCTGAAACTCTCTCTCTCTCTCTCTCTCTCTCTGACTTTGAAGTTTGATTGAGTATATAATTGGCTGAGATGTTCAATCATGATATCATTATTGTCAACCATGGAGTTTAAACTTCTTTCTTGGCCATATCAGGCTATTGAATTATGCACAAGACCCCATATACCAGGTTTGACAGAATTGTTGTGATGGCCACGTCATAATAAGTCCCATTATTTCAACATCACAATCCCTTTTGCAGTCGGACAGAATATTATCAACTTTGTCGAACTGATTGCAACGCGGTTTCCTTTTGTTTGGCGCATAACAATTATCATTTGCTCTCTGCCCCCACCTTACTCTGAACTTTGAATATATTGCTTCCGAGCTTAGTTAACCGGTTTCATGTGGCGATTTGACTTTAACCAACCCTCTCTTGTCATTGAATGTATTGCTTCAGAGCTTAAGTTAACTGGTTTCATGTGGTCATTTGACTTTAACCAACCCTCTCTTGGCATTGATATGGGAGAGAGTTGAGAGTTATTTCAAACTCAATGAGTTTGAGTTGTTGTTTAGTGGTGATGTGACGACAAGCCTGTTATTATGAGCTGTTTGAGTAGTTTTCATGTTTTCTATATGCATATTGTGATGAGAGAGAAAAATAGATGTGCGTTTTTTTTTTAAGAGCAAAAGGGAATTCATTAATCAATCATCAGGAATAATAGGTTCGGCATGGAGAAGAGTGGCCTCATTAAAATCTCTCTAAAGAAAACCCAATGAGATAAAACTTCAGTGGAGGAAAAAGAGTACCACACACGCCAAATTACAACTGAAACTTAAACAAGAGATGGGTTACATAAACCCGTTTCATATAAATTGTTCTCATTGAAGTAGTGCAGGTGTTTCATGTAAATTTTTCTCATTGAAGTGTTGTAGGTTCGAACGGATAATATCTCATAAATTGAATTTTCTGTTATGCATAGAGTTGGTTTTGCTAATATGCATTTTGAAGTTGATTTACAATATCTAAGAGCCTATAAGTAAACTCAAGATATAAAGTTATAAGCATACAGAATAAGCAAATCTCATTCCATCTAACATGAAATTCAAAATCCTAATTATGCACCACTTCTTACAAGCTTTTAAAACTAGAAACTTCAAGTCTATATTAAGTTTGTCTTCTTTTTGCATATGAAATTGAGCATTTCAAAGTCCTTGTGGCCACAATAGAGGCACCTAGAATGCTGGATTTCCCCTTTGGACTACAAATTAATTTTATTTTATCACATCATATTTAGTTCACCCCAATATCTTACCTAAATTAGAACATTTAAACCAAGAAACATCCATACGTAAAAGCAGCTTCTCATCTAATACAAACAAGCATTAAAATTTTATTTACTCTAAGCATACACAGTTATGTTGTTATCGCAGCAGATCATGCAAATAGTTTGCTAATGGGTTAATCATAATATGAGCACATTGAATTGACCGCATAACATTTTACATTATGTGACAGCTGATGTGTACATGCTACCTCAATTAATTTAAGAGTAATACTCTTACTACATTTGTATATCACATTCTCATACTACCTTATGTGGCAGATGAAGTGAATAACCACATCAATTAAAAAGTGTCAATAAATCAAAAAAGAAAAAATATATAATTTTAATTAATGTGATTGTCCATCTCATTTGCCACATAAAGTGTTATAGAGCCATATTTAACAGAAACTACAAATTAAACTTATCTTCCGTTTTTTGGATGTGCATATGAAACTGAGCATTTCAAAGTCCGTGTGACAAAATCATCAATAAAAAAAATATTAGGATCAGGTTTTGAATTCGGTTAGAATGTTGTGCAAACAATCACAATCACATTCACTCCAATTTCATATATGATTTTTTTTTTCTTTTCCAATTTTATATATGTCAGTGTCACTGTGTATCTGGGACGTCAAAATCAGGAACAAAATTAACCATTGAAAAGTAAATTTTAAAAAAAATAAAACCCTTTTTAATCACAATCAGTTTATTTTTCTTTTGAGAATTTTAACATTTTTATATTCCAACCGAAGGCCTAGAGCTGGTTGTAATGGCCCAATGGGCTAAATGACTTTTTCTGTGTTTGGGCTTCCTTCCTAATCGCCGGTTCCAACTCGGCCGACTCGGTAATCCCCCAACCTCATCTCCTCGTTCTTCTCCACCGTCGTCTCCGGCCATGCCGACTCCGGTCGCAGCTTCTAGAATCTCTATGTGGGTCTTTTCAACAAAAATTTACACCAACAAACTCATCTTCGGTACTAAATTAGGGTTAGGGTTGGTCCGCGTTTTGTTGAAAGAGGTAAGCCTCCCTTATCATTCTACTAGCACAAGAGCTTGAATTGAACACTTGATTCTTGACCTCATTATAATCTCAGTATATTTTGTTTTTATGTCATTAGAATGCCCAGAATTGCCTTGCCAGTTGCAGAATAGAAGCCATTGACAAGGATGCTATTTACAGGTCTGGATAATTAAGCCCCTGCTTGACCCTCTCTCCCCTTCTATCTCTTCAGTAAGTATACTTTCTTTTTGTTTATGTTAATTTCTTGTTCTCGTGGTTATTTTTCCAGGCACTCTTCTTAGCATGTCAAAATTTAGTGAAGGAACTATATTCTGGCTTTGGAGTAAAAGAAATACATTTGCACAAGAGTTTCTGTCTACAAACTCCGACACCTAGCTAGAAGGTAATGACCCTAAATTATTGGAAACAGTTCAGTTTTTAGCAGAACTAAACCTGGCTGGAGAACTTCTAAAAGCTAAACATCAGTTTCCAAAAATGATTGAGGTTTTTTAAAATTCTATAGCTGTTCTTTGAGTGCACCCTTTCCTACCATGTTTGTATAACTTATATGTTATCCTCGGATAACAGAGTATTTGAAATCTTAGGGACACATTATCAGTAGCATATAGTCATATATTATGCTTCAGTAAATTTTGCGTTGATTGCTATTCCAAACTGAGCTTTTAACATGAGTGTCAAGTTACGGAAGGGAAATTTTATAGAGCAAAATTTTCCTTTCAACTTAGAAATTGGAATATCTGGTATTGACCTCAGATTTCTGTATAAAACTTGTCAATGGGAAAGGAATTTTTGGTTTCTATCTAATGTTTAGTGAATCCAATGTGAAGCATAATGGATGGCGGAAGGTGCACAGCGCATGATGCTCAGAGGTAGCATCCCTAGGATTACATGGTATATTCCACCTCAGCTGGCTTTGGAATTTCTGAGGGACCATTTCAAATTTTCAATGAAGGATTAAGCAATGATAACATGCAAGAAGTTGCTACCATCCATGTCAGTAGAAGTCTTTACAAAGGAGAGCAAGAGGAACTTACTGAATTTTTTCCCATCATGTCCAGTTTGTTGGACAGATTGGGGCATTTTTCATGTATCAAGTAATAATTTGGTCGGTATTTAGTAATATTTTTCATGTAAACATAAAAGAATAAAGGGAGGTTTATGTTTTCTTGTTTTCCGAACTTTGTTGGCCAAAATTTCTTTGTTTTGGGAGTGCTAGAAGCTTTTCAAAGTCTGCCAACTTTTAGCGGCGGTTTTTATCTTCGCTAGTAAACGTTGTATTTCCCACGGTTAGCGACAGTTTTATCCGTTTCTAAAGGAATTTTGCAAATTTGGGACGTTAGTTTCGTCACTAAATGAGACAAAACCGCTGCTAAAATCCTAAAACCGTCGATAAAAGAACACATGCCACATATCAGTTGATAAAGTGTTTTTCTTTATGTTTCCAGGTTAGACGTTTGTTTAATTCTCCTAAACTACTACTGACAATTGGGTAAATCAAGTATAAGCCACAATAATCCTAATTCCACCAAAGCAATCCAACATTGTAATAATCGAGAAGCAAACTGATTATTACAAAATGAAGTAGTCGAAGAGAAAGGTCAAGTGACTGTTGCCACATTGAGCATTCTGTTTTGCTTGATGGTTTTTCAGTAAGAGAAGCCTTTCAGTGAGAAAGCAGAACCTCTAAATCCTCTTGCCTTGAGCATTCTGATAGCATTTAAGATATGGTTTATATGGTATTCTGTGAATGCGTGTTTAATATAGATATCGTAACATCAAGGTAGCTCCCTAGTTAGTCTAGAAACATTCATTTAGGACAACTTCTACCTCTTCATTCTTTCTAATCGATTCAACATTTCCCTTATTCATGAACCGAAATGTTTTGCCCTTTTAGAACGACTCTCATCAAGAAAATTCATTGCACCTGCAAGGGTTTGGTTTTAAACTATTTTCTGTCAATTTTATAGCACATTCTTATTCTGGTCAAGTCTCATTATTATTGATGACTATGATTATGTCAAGAGTAATTGAAACAGGCAGATAAGACTGTACGTTTGAAGATAAAATTACTATCAAAATAATTGCATTTGTAAACTTTGCACATCCAAGTCATTTGCTAGCGACAGCAAAGATTTATGCAGAATTGGTTTTCACTTCCAAACATGCCTGCTAATAATAACTCTCTCTCCAAATGTGAGATTGATTTTCTGTATCTAGAAACCACTTGTACACACACCTCATTTTGTACACCCTTTTTGAAACTTTCACACAAGGAAATGTTTTGCCATTGCTGCATTAAGAACATGACTTTAAAATCATTCTCACTCAAAATTTCAAGTCCAGCTTTTAATTATTTATGTTCTTTCCTTTGGTACTTATTTATTATTAAAACTCATAATTTTGTTAATGAAGTAATATTTGCCTCTATGGATGGTATGTTTATATTATAGAATTTTCCTTTTAAAAATATGATTAATTGCAAAAGAATAAAAAGAATAAGTTATATATATTTAACATGCTCTCTCCACCTGAGAAATGCCACCCAAGAGAGTGCAACTGTTCGGAACCCATGGAGCTGCCCAATGGGAGGCGCCCACATGTCAGGTAGACAAAATAGACGTTGGAGAGAGAAAAATATAAAAATTGGTCGTAGAAGCCTGTTTTTGGAGGTCTCATATATTCTCATTCGTCCCCGGGGTTTTTGCTTCGTTGTCACTTGTCACAATCATCCAAATTTCTCAAGCCACAGAGAGACAGAGAGAGAGAGAGAGAGAGAGAGAGAGAGAGAGAGAGAGGGAGCATGGAGAACCATAAGCAGATGGAGAAGAACGAGGTGGGGCCCATGGCTACAGAGGCGGAGGAGGAGGCCGGACAGGTGGGGTCCAGCTTGACCCTAGAGAGGGTGGCTGCAGCCAAGCAGTTCATAGAGAGCCACTACAAGGCTCAGATGAAGCACATCCAAGATCGTAAACAAAGGTATGAAATCATTTCCTTTTGTTTTTACTATTTCCAAGGATCTCTCTCTCCCCTTGCCCAGTTTTGTTTTCAATCTCTAGCTTTCCAGTCCTTGCAATCCCAGCTGGTGTATTTGTGATTTTCGTGATCAAATTTGGTTTTTTGTTTCTGGGTATTTAATGTTTTTTTGGTTTAGGAAAGAAAGCTTCGAATTTTGTAGGGAAATGAGGGTGCTTGGACATGCATTCCTTGAAAGAGTTGGAATTTATTTGGTGTATGGGAAATGGGGTTCATAAGGATATTCTAAATCAGTGTGCTCTTGGTTTTATGAGGTCAAGGGGAGTGCATTACCTGAAGGAGAAGAGACCATTATAGTTCGTTAAGGAGTGGGATAGATTTTCCTTTTTTAAAAATTCATTTCGGATTTTGGTCTTTCGGAATGCGCATGCTTGCATGAACTGAAAGTATTATTGTTTAATTTATGTTTATCACCAAGTCGAACTGTGTTTAGATTTTCTAAAGTTGGCCCTGATGTCCAGAAAATATAAACCTTCTAAGGAATTTCAACCATAATAAATATTTGAATGCTGAATGACATTTTTCAAATTAGTAAAGAATTGCCTAGTGATGGTTATGAGTTATGAAGCTTCTTAGATATATTATCCGCAAATCCTTAGTTGGAAAAGTATGTGGTTATTTGTTTGTTAATATTTTAACCACCTTAGAAGTAATGAATGGGGTGCAGCTGTGAACAAAGTGAGAAAGTCATTACGTGTACATATATGAGGCACTTTTGAATTTTGAATATGTTTCTTGTTTTCTTCAATTTTTTTAGAGTTCAATAGTTGCTCATAGTTGTGATGTGCCTTCACAACTGGTAATTAAAGTAAAATTGGCAATGATTAGATCGTAAAGGCTTTTGATCTTGATACGTGCCCTCACATGTTTTTACTGTTTCCAGGCGCTCAGTGCTGGAAAAGAAATTGGCATCTGAACATGTGCCAGAACAGGAACAGATCCATATGTTGAAGGATTTGGAGCGCACAGAGACTGAATATATGCGCCTTAAAAGGCACAAGATTTGTGTTGATGATTTTGACCTTCTGGCAATAATTGGGAGAGGGGCCTTTGGAGAGGTTAGAGATATGCATATTTTTTATGGTTTTCATAGGTGCTTGGTTTAGAAGATATTATTTTCCCTCTTAAACATTCTATACAGAGAAAGTGAGTATAAGCTTATTTCAGCTACCTGTGAGTTGTTTATTGTTACAGTATGCTGATCATTTCTAACACAAGTATGATGGTTATTTGTTTCCTTTTCTTTGTTGTAGTTTTTGTATATTCTTTGGTTTATGTTTGATACTTTCTTGATTAAGAACCTTTATATAAAACTTTATAGGTTAGACTCTGTCGGGAGAAGAAATCTGGCAACATTTATGCCATGAAAAAGTTGAAGAAGTCAGAAATGCTCAGTAGGGGGCAGGTATTATATGATAGATTTAGAGTTTATATAAATTTTAACTTCTATTAAAGGTATTTTAAACGTGTGTGAATCTATGCACTCACTGGTTGTCTATCTGCAACGTAGGTTGAACATGTTAGAGCTGAAAGGAATTTGCTTGCAGAGGTTGCTAGTCACTGCATTGTGAAACTCTACTATTCCTTTCAAGATGCTGACTACTTGTATCTAATCATGGAGTATCTACCTGGTGGTGACATGATGACTTTGCTTATTAGAGAAGAGACTTTGACTGAAACTGTTGCAAGATTTTACATTGCCCAAAGTGTTATGGCTATAGAATCTATTCATAAACATAACTACATTCACAGGTTGGTTTATCCAGTTGTTTACAGGCTTGCCAACATATCAGAAGCTGGATTCTCTTGAACAGCATTATATTAATAATTGTGCATCAGGAACATAATGTAACTCTTGCATTTGTTGCATCTATATTTTCAGAGACATAAAACCAGACAATCTTCTGTTAGACAAAAATGGTCACATGAAGCTCTCTGATTTTGGTCTTTGCAAGCCTCTTGACTGCTCAAATTTGTCATCCATAAATGAAAATGAAGTGCTAGATGATGAGAACCTACATGAGACAATGGATATTGATGAATCCTTCCCAGAATCCAAAAATGGGAGGCGCTGGAAAAGCCCGCTTGAGCAACTTCAACATTGGCAAATAAACAGAAGAAAACTGGTATGAAAATGATATTTTCCTTTATCATCTAATGTGGCATTTCACATCTCTTGGATTCTTAACTAATAAAGTGCAAGCAACAGATGTTTGCTATTTGTGTGTTATGATAATTAACACTGCATGGATTTAAAGATAGATTATTTAATGTCACTCGGAGTTGTATATGTAATTATGTGTCCACACTGTTACAAAAGTTAAGTAGATCAAGATCAGAGAGGCTATATAAACCTTACCAGAAATGGTATATTTCTGAAATGACCTTCAATACAGTAATTCATTTTAAATAAGGATATATAAAGCATGGTTCAGTAGAAAAAATGTATGGTTCTGTTTGAGGGACGTCAGAGTATATAATCGTAGTTTTCACAACACAGCAGACATTTACATTGTCTTTATTATTTGATCAGTCAATTTTCTTGTGGTAGTGTGTTTTGGCAATTTCAAGGATATTGGTCCTGGAGACCTTTGTTTTTCTGATCACAGTCATATTACTTTGTTCCAATGATAGGCATTCTCAACAGTCGGAACTCCAGATTACATCGCTCCAGAAGTATTGTTGAAGAAAGGATATGGCATGGAGTGTGACTGGTAAGTCCATACAATTAATGCTTATCTGTTCGACATTGGCTTTTCTTTTAAAAAACCATTGGTATTGTAATTGTGTTTTTCAGTGAAGATCTTTGCAGTGTTATTGGATTGCTATAGTAGCTAAAATATGGTATGCTAAACTTCATTGTGAATTCTATTATCTTACCGAATTCCTTCCTGGTTGTAGGTGGTCACTTGGTGCAATAATGTATGAGATGCTTGTTGGTTATCCCCCATTTTACTCTGATGATCCAGTGACAACATGCAGAAAGGTTGATTTGCAACGAGTATATGTTTTGGTTATATTTTCTAATTGAAGTATGTGATATCTCATAGCTTTTGATTCATCTTTTTCTATGTTGTTGGGTTCCCACAATCATTAGATTGTAGTGAGATTAATTTCAACATAATTCTTCAGGTTGCTTTTGTCTCACACGTTTTTTTTTCTTTCTAGAAAGTTCTATGTATAAATTATTTTTGAAGCACTAACATTTGCAAAATTGTACAATTCTTATGTGTCATGGCTGCTGAAGAAGCTTTGATTTGAATTCTTTAGGCAATTGTGATGTTAGTCTTACTAAAGTTTTATTATTAACCGAGAACACTAGTGTATAACCTGACATGTAGAACAATCTATGCTAGATTGTACATTGGAAAAATCACTTAAAATTTCCAGTGGAGGCAAGGTTGACACCTGAAGCAAAGGATCTGATCGGTAGGTTCCTTTGTGATGTTGAAAATAGGCTTGGTAGAGCAGACCAAATTAAGGTATTTTAACTCTCTTTCAGTTGACTTTTACCCTCATACTGTTACGCATTTTCTTAATCATGTAAGTTTGTTTTAAATTTGTTCAGGCTCATCCTTGGTTCAAAGATATTGCTTGGGACAAACTTTATGAGGTGGAGGCAGCATTTAAACCAGAGGTCAATGGGGAACTCGATACTCAAAATTTTATGAAGTATGATGAGGTGAGGTGTTAAGCACACTCCTGTCTTCCTTTATTTATTGGTAGTGGAGTATTAGTTTGTTGTACCTTTGTGTCTTAAATTCAACTGTGCTCTAGGTGGATCCACCAGCAACAGGAAGAACAGGATCTGGACCAATGAGAAAGGTATGCTTTTCATAGCCGAAAGAGTACAAACACTTAAAGTGGCATAATGTTAATTTATGATCTGGTGATGGCTATTCCCACTTAAAATCTTAAAAGGGTACATTTGAGATATTGGTTTAGTAAATCAAGATTTATGTCATACACATACTATTTCATACTGTAGAAGGCATATTCATAATTCAATGGCCTATTCGAAGGTAAAATTTGGTAAAAAATTGGAAGGCAGGTTTGAACTCACTATAGATGGATTCCTATACATTAGTGGGGTCCAAGGTCATTGATGTTAATGGAACTTGGTCTTCTTAAATACTATTGATAATTTTTTTCTGATTCCATTATGCGATTCTTTTTCTTTAGATATTTTGGGTTTGTACTTTATACTAGTCCTCTAACTTTCTTTGCAGATGTTGTTGACTCCTAAAGATCTCAGTTTTGTTGGCTATACATACAAGAATTTTGAGGCTGTCAAAGGGTTACATCAATCTTCTGGTATGGGATGTCATTCTACCGAAGTACATTCTTGACTTTTCTCTTTTTCCTTTTGTTTTTCTTGATGCAACGCGCTACAAAGTTATTATGTAATGAGCAGCACTGTTTGCAATCTGCTAAATTTCCTTGATTATGTTCATTACTGTTGCCAAAAAAAAATCTCTTTTTAATTATTAATTCATTCAATGATTACAGATCTAAACAGGAGTGCATCATTGAACCGATCATCTATTGACTCTGCTCAAAGTAATACATCTTGAACTGAACTTGCCTCATCAACTGTCATTTTCATGTTTAATATTGAGTTGCCCTATGCTAATCGATGATGTTCCTGTCCAGGTGATTCAGTAGTGGACTACTCCACTAGGCATTCATACAGCGACATGGAAGCTCAGGTGCTTGCTGCATCAGAGGATGTCATGTCAGAGTGACTCATAGCATCCAGTGTAACAGGCGGACAAGGCCCTTGTATGAACATGTTGGGTATGCCTGCTTGTTTTTCGGTCAGGTTTTGCCCCAGTCACCATGATCAACACAGTTGACTGCTACATCTTGCTGAACTTCTTCTAAGTGTACAGAGTAATATTGAAGACACTTCAAGATGACCCGTGGATCGGTTCGTTTTGTAGGAGTAGTAGTAGAGATCTTGAAAGCTTTTGTATCCAAGTAGGTGTGAGAATTTTGTCATGGTCCTGGCTACCCAGGTTGGCAAGCACAATATGCCTTCGCTTGTGGCAGTTTCCAGTCTTTCGTCCTTTCTTGATTGTCTAGGAAATTATGGTGCTGTTTGTAAACATTGACCACCCTGATAGTTGGAATTGTATGGATGGCCCTGTGTGGCTTTGGTTAGTAAAACAGGAAATTAAGTTTTGATTCCTAAAGTTTGAGGATGTTCTGGGTTTTGAAAATTATAGTTAAACATCTTTTTCAACAACTGTCTGTCATTCCATGAACATCTTGATTGCAGCTTAGCGCAGTTTCGCTTGTCCATGTCTTTAAGAGACATATATCTCAATATTTGATACCATGAGCAATGCTATGGACAGTAATGTTCCCGCACGCGTGGTTGGCTGTCAGCTGTTGATGCAAATAGGTACCACAACGCATTAACGGCTGACAACCACCCCCTCGGCGCTAAGACAAATCTTGATACCATTTACAAATCAAAGTGACGGTCTTTTACCGAATTAAAGCTTATGAAGACTTGTGGTCACAAACTTTTGCATGTCCTTTAAAAGCCTAACCATAGAATCCGAAACATGGCCATAATTCAAAAACACATGCAATGCAAACGCATGACATGGGATATTATGGATAGCGCGAGAACAGTGACATTCAAAACACACCAACGCAGTTGTTTGTTTATTCTTTCTCACGTTGTATTGGTTGTTGGATTGGGAGACAGACTTTAGTGACGGGGACTTCTTCTGTAACACATGTTTTCAAGTTTAGTGATTTCGAAGTTGAAAACTGGCCTTTGTTTGTTTACAGAAATTTATGGAAAACAGTGTTCAAATATTTGGCATGGTTAAAAGTTTTAAAATAGGCCACTTTAGGTGAGCATTTTATGATATTACTATAATTATTATTGACGTGTGGATTTTCTATTTACCTTTTTTGTGCTTTCCATTTCAAATCCTCAGTTTTTATTTTCTTTTTCTTTTTGGAGAAATTCAAACCTTCATTTTAAATTTGTGTGTGGTTAGTATCTGATTAGCCTACGAGAGGTTCCAGACTTGAGAAATGTACAATGATAGTTTGTCTGATTTATGTATGTAACAAATGTAGGACGATTGTTACTATAAATGATTAAGTGCAACGGTAATACCACATGACATGTATATGCAATTACTTAAAGTTATTATACATGTGCTAATACTTGAACACTAAACTGTACATTGAAAACCGGTAATAATTGTATGTGTTAAACTTGCAGTAGTTTCATAACATCATGTTGGCATCTCACGTGATATTACATCCGCACACAATAACATTTCCATATCACGAAGTGTTAAAATCATCTAACTTTATAAGATAAGAAGACTTCATTTCCCAATCATAATTTCAAATTATACAAGTTCAATAATAGATTGAGATTTTAATGTTAATATAGGAATTAATCATACTTTCTGCCCACCATTTCCTCTCTCCCATTGTAATTTATGTGAAATTTATGGAAAACAGTGTTCAAATATTTGGCATGGTTAAAAGTTTTAAAATAGGCCACTTTAGGTGAGCATTTTATGATATTACTATAATTATTATTGACGTGTGGATTTTCTATTTACCTTTTTTGTGCTTTCCATTTCAAATCCTCAGTTTTTATTTTCTTTTTCTTTTTGGAGAAATTCAAACCTTCATTTTAAATTTGTGTGTGGTTAGTATCTGATTAGCCTACGAGAGGTTCCAGACTTGAGAAATGTACAATGATAGTTTGTCTGATTTATGTATGTAACAAATGTAGGACGATTGTTACTATAAATGATTAAGTGCAACGGTAATACCACATGACATGTATATGCAATTACTTAAAGTTATTATACATGTGCTAATACTTGAACACTAAACTGTACATTGAAAACCGGTAATAATTGTATGTGTTAAACTTGCAGTAGTTTCATAACATCATGTTGGCATCTCACGTGATATTACATCCGCACACAATAACATTTCCATATCACGAAGTGTTAAAATCATCTAACTTTATAAGATAAGAAGACTTCATTTCCCAATCATAATTTCAAATTATACAAGTTCAATAATAGATTGAGATTTTAATGTTAATATAGGAATTAATCATACTTTCTGCCCACCATTTCCTCTCTCCCATTGTAATTTATGTCACAGGCAAATCTATAGCATGTGTGTGCAGCCTTAATTATGATATTTTTAACATTTATTTTCACAGAATAATATTTTTAAAAATTGTTCAATAATTGTCACTTCCCAAATTCATCCCATCCCATGTGCCAATACACCTACCTACAAAAATCATACATGCATATATAAATTTACATACATACCATTCATTGAAAACTCTCTCTCAGTAGCTGTTTAAGCCGGCTCGACAATGTTCTTCCCAAAGTGCCCCCACCCTCGACGCCTATTTTAATTCATTGATAAAACGAAGCATGGGTATAACAGTAACTTCACTATATCCCATTTCATTGCCGATCAAAACACAGGGCTCTTCTTCGTCCTCCATGGCTTTGTACGAACCTTCGATTTCGAGCTCCGAACTTAAACAGAACCCTCGGAATATTCAATTCCTACCCTATCATTGAATCTCCAAATTAAAGAATCGCCCTTGCTTCACCATCAGTTAGACATCATTGTCTCCGATTGAAGGTATAGATTTGAATTTAAACTTCAATTTGATTAGATTTTGGTTGATTTAACTTCTACGTGTTTATTTAGGGTTTTTATTTTTGGCGTGTGATTGAAGGTTCGTAATGCTTCATTTCTCTAGGTTTTTCGTGGATTCAACTTCTAGGGTTTCCATTTAATATCTGAGATATTTTTCTTATTTTAAGGTTTTTTATATTATTTTTATTGATGAACTCAGATTAACAGAAAAACTTTAAATTTAGGAAGCAATAAAGTAAAAAATAAATAAAAATTTAAAGTAAACCAAATTTATGTGACTATCTGTTTGATAGGTGTAGCTTTTGTTGATTAGAATGGAGAATCCTGAGCAAAATAAAAATGTTGAAAAATAGGGGAAAAATAGTCTCATTCAGTAAAATTTTAGCGCGAAAGACCTTGAACTTAGGAGTCATACTATTACTTGGGTGAAACAGCTAGACCCACCTCCTCCCTCTAGAAAAAGAGCCAGGGAAAGAATTTTATTTCTAAAGAAGGAAAGATGATAAATGAAAAAAGTGCATTTGGTGACCGTGCGGTGTCACTTTCGCAGCCTTCGATATAGCTGTGTTCATTGAATTATCTTAAGTTCTTTGTTTTAAGTTAAAATAGAATGACAGTCAGTGTTGATTTATTCTGCTATGCTCATGTTATGTTAATTGGGCCATTGTGTAGGTGTCTGTAATATCATGTGTTGCTCCATTTAGTGTCATCATCCATCTTAGTTAGTTTTCATTGGTCAATGAACTGATATTGATATTTATTACTTAGGGAGAGTCAATCAGAACTCAACAATGACTTCAGTTAATTGTCAGCTTATCTGATTTTCCTAATCTAGTGTTTACTTTTTGGGTGTGTGAACGTTAGATCAGTGTGGTGTTCTTATCCTTAATGAACAGTAGTAGTAAATTGTAGAAGTAGCAGGATAGACCCAGGGGAAGAGATTGTACCAAAGGAGACCTGTTTGACCGGGCGTTTGGTTACCGTAAATTGTGCATAATTGAAGTGGAAATATTTTATATTAACTGTGAGCTTATCTGATTTTCCTAATCTAGTTTTGACTTTTGGGTGTGTAAGTTTGATCCCCTTCCAAAAAGTTAATGCTTAAATACAGGTGGTTGTAATTATATTTGTTCTATATGCAACATGCCATTCATTGTGCCTTGATCTTAATTTAATATCAATGTGATTATCGCAATAATGCTAACATTAATAGAGAACTATAATGCTGCTTATATTTCTGATTTCTGTGCATGATTCTCATATAGCATGCACATCATTTGCATTTATTTATGAGGGTCACATTTCTGGGTTGTAATGCTACATAGTTTATGTATTCGGGAGTGTGTTGAGGCAAAGGTTAATTTATTTCCTTCTTCCTTTCGGATAGGGGAGTTCACAAGATTATTTGAATCTTAGGTTCGTAATTTTGTGAACCATTACACTGAATCTGAATGGCTTATGCATAATTTTTATGAACCAATACCCTTACTCAAAATCTAAATTGATGTTGCCAATTTCTTTTACCTTTGAATAAGGAATCCATAATTTGTGTGCTGTATGGTTTATGCATCTCAGTCCAATTTCTTGTTTATACGTTTTCACATCTGGCTTTTCGTGATATGTATCCAATAATTTTCTCTTTTCTTGTGCCCATTAAGGATCTCAAAAAACGGCTACCCATCTCATCATAATGGAAAACTTGATTATTAATTTGAAAAAAAAAAAGGATTTTGCTTCTTGTCTCATGATCCTTATCTGTTTCAGGTGCACTGCCCAGTCATTGTTCTTCAGAGTTTGGGCTTTATGCGCTGTTGTGCCCATCTTTGTCATGCACCTCTGTATTTACTGGCTTTTTGACCCGGAGAATGTGTGGAAACTGATGCAATGGCAACTTCTAGCAAGTTTGATCTCTCGTCTGGTAGCCCGGATAGACCATTATACAACAGTGGGCAGCGAGGATCCCACATAGCTGCTCAATTGGACAGATCTGGTAGCTTTCGCGAGAGCATGGAAAATCCAATTTTATCTTCACTTCCAAACATGTCAAGAAGCACGTCTCTAATAACACAAGGAGATGTAACAAACTTCTTCCATTGCTTGCGCTTTGATCCAAAATTGGTGGCTTCAGAGTACAAGTCTAACCGGCAAGGGGACTTGAGAAGACTTGTGAGTGTTGCTCTTAGCATTTCACCTGATGAATCTCCATCTGGTTCTGTAAAAGGAAAACCATCTCCAATACCGGAGGATATAAAACGAGTCAAAGCTGGTCTGCGTGAAGGCTCTGTTAAGGCTAGGTAGTTCCCTGTATGCATTTTGGTTCGTAGTTGTGAATTGTAAGTTGTAATTACTCCATAACATTGAATCATTTTACAGGGAACGTGTAAAAACATTCAATGAAGCCTTATTAGTATTCAACAAGGTTTTCCCAAGCGTACCATCAAAGAAGAGATCAAGAACAGAAGTTTTTTCTAATGAACGGTCTACTGTGGTGTTATCGAGTGATAGGTCGATCCTGGGGCCAAAGATGGGTAAGATTGGTATTCAGAGTCATGCTGTCACAGGTGGTTTTGAACTTGAGCAGCAAAAGTCAGAAGAAAGGACCAAGAACTCTGTCCCAAACAAACGCACTCGTACTTCTATGGTGGATGTGAGGGTCTGTATCTTGGAAAAATTTCTACTACATTTGCTTTTTTCACTCATATTTTCTATATTGTGCTCCTTTCTTGAGTACTGTCTATGAATATCTTGTTTAAAATTAACTTATAGGAGCTACTTTAGTTGTAATTGTGGTTAAACTATGTTTTGTCTAAAGCTGCTTTAGAAAATCACTATATGCTGTTATGGTTATTCTATTTTAGTACCTGTTTTATGGGCATATACAAATACTTCACTTTGATCTAATTGGATCCTTCTTCCATTTAGATATCCCTTTTAAAATGTCTTCAATGTGAACATTTTGTTTACCTGAGTGAGTGTGGGATATGGTACTCATGTAATTTAATGTTTATGCGTAGTATTAGGTTTCCAATGCACCCTTTTTGTGTTTTGTTTTTGTTTTTAGTTATGATGCATACATGACTGCATATAATTATGAAAGTATGTATACTTGCGTCATACTGTTCTATTGTTCTCGAGCTGTGGATTGGTTAAATTTGTCTTTTGTGCTTTAAGCCATGTGCATTCCGCCTGCTAATCCATGAAAGGTAGATTGATAATGTCTCTAGTTATCTTCAGGTTGGCACCATTGATATTTTCTGCATTATTACTCCTTTAAGGGAAGACTGACTTATCTATGATAATTGTAGATGGATGTGAGGAGTAATGCTCTTGTCCGGCCATCTGGAGCAGTAGACAGGGATAGGGAAATGCTGCGGCTTGCAAGTAGTGGTGCAGTTCAGGGAGAGGATCGGAATTTATCTATAGGTGTTGATGGTTGGGAAAAGTCAAAAATGAAGAAAAAACGTTCTGGGATAAAGCTAGATGCTTCTCCAAGTATGGTATCCGGTAAACCAATTGATGGCTTCCGTGAAACTAAACAGGGAATGCAGCAAAGGCCTGTGAGTGATGCCCGTTCAAGGTTAAATAGTGACTCCCATGGGTTCAGGTATGGCTTCTTAAAGTGCAACTGTACATGCATCTTCATATAAGGACAGTCTGAACCATGATATATAGAATCTTAACAAATGTATCCATTCACAGTTGGGGTAAATTAGATCGCCATTTTGCAGAATGTAAATTTTTATTTCTACAGGGAACTTAGGAACATGTAGCCCTTTCTGGTCAATTTACTGGTACAGAAGTCCCGGCGAACTGTTCAATGTTAACAAATTTATGCTTATTATTTATATACTTCTACTGAGGATCCATAGGGGATGTGGTAATTGTTTAAACTTTATGCAAGTTGTTGTTTGTCACCATTTATCTTCAGTTTTGTATTGGAATTGCACATCTTGTTCTGGAATTTTGAAAGGACCAAGGTTGTATTGTATCCATCTGAGGGCATTGTTAATTTGAGGTTTAATTGCACATTTATGTTTTGATTTTTCTCTTCGTGTATATGGATTTTGATGATAAGAGATAAATTGTAGAAATCAACAACTTCACATACCTTCAAAAGTTTTAAAATGAGTTCAAAGAATCAGGCAAAAGAATGACACCTATTTATATGGTTAAGTTGTTTGGTTTTTTCCCTATAGGTATACCGGCATACTATTTTTTTCTGTCTATTTCCATTTGGTGTTGTTTTGTCCTATTATTTAAGGAAAACATGTTAACTATTTTGGTCAGATAAGGAAAACATGTTAGTGATTGAGAATATCATAATTCCCTGAAGCCTAAGAAGGCATATCTAGAAATTATTGAAAAATCATGCCTTTTATAATATAATTAGCAACTAAGACTTTGGTACTTGTAATTTTTTCATCTGATGATAAAAAGGCAATACGCTTGATGTAACAATTGCCCTAAAGGATATCTGTACCAGTAGTGATTGATTAAAACTTTTGCAGTTATTGAGTAGAATCAATCTCATGGATGGAATTGGAATGCATAAGACAGGACTCTCTTTTAGGCTTTCACCTCATAGTACAGTTAGTGAAAGGTTTTCCACATAATATGAATACTTTCTTACGATGGGTGATTGAAGGGCCACTCTTCTTGTTTTTCTTTTTCTTTCATTAAACTATGCTTCTTGTTGACATGTTATTTCATTGAACTATTGAAATAATCACTTAGGAAACATTTTTCAGATTTGTTTTTTGTTTGTTTGTTAATAATCGTCATCTGTGATACTTGAGAGGTAATGTTGATGTCTTATATGTTTATAGGCCAGGAGTTACTAATGGAGCTGTTGGAGCTGGAAAGTCTGACGGAATCTCACAATTTCGTTCATCCATCCCTAAGACTGAACCAGACAACCCTTCCCTTATAAATGATAAGAGAGATCACCCTATTGTTACAGATAAGGAAAGGGTGAACCACAGAGCTGTTAATAAGTAAGCGTAGCATCCATAACATTTTCTTATGTGCTTATCTTTTAGAGTGGTGTTCGACTGCTTGTTAGGGCTGCTATCTGGGTTCTATTGTTAGCCTCTTTATCTCTTGCTCCTATTTATTTACTAATTTGGTCTTTATTTATTTATGAAACTTTGTATTGATTTCTCCCTCTTTATACTGTATGTCTTTCAGGGCAAGTGTTCGTGATGATTTTAATTCAGCTAGTCCTACCTCAAGCACAAAGATAAATGCTTCTGTTCGGGCTCCACGATCAGGCTCAGGTGTTGTACCCAAGTTGTCTCCGGTTGTTCATCGAGCAACTGTTGCTAATGATTGGGACATTTCTCATTGTACAAGCAAGCCCCCAGCTGCTGTTGGAGCTAACAATCGCAAACGCATGGCATCAGCACGATCTTCATCTCCACCTGTTGCCCAATGGGCTGGCCAAAGACCACAGAAGATCTCCCGCACTGCGAGACGATCAAATTTTGTTCCTATTGTCTCAAGTAATGAGGAAACCCCTACTATGGATAGTGCATCTGATGTTACTGGTAGTGACATAGGGATGGGATTTGCCAAACGCCTACCAGGAAGTTCTCCTCAGCAGGTTAAGTTAAAAGCCGAACCTTTGTCTTCAGCTGCACTATCGGAGAGTGAGGAGTCAGGAGTTGCGGAGATTAAATCCAGAGATAAAGGCAAAAAGACCGATGAAATAGATGAGAAAGCTGGACAGAATGTTCAAAAGGTGTCCCCTCTGGTCCTGCCATCAAGAAAGAATAAGCTGGTTACTGGGGAAGACCTTGGAGATGGTGTTCGAAGGCAAGGGAGGACAGGGAGAGGTTTTACTTCCACTAGGTCTCTCATGCCAATGACGGTTGAGAAGATTGGAAATGTTGGAACAGCAAAACAGCTAAGAAGTTCCAGACTTGGTTTTGACAAAAGTGAAAGGTTTAATATATTGTACCTGTGTATATTTTTCTGGCTGTCCAATAAGTATGCCATATGTTTTGTAGCCTAAAAATATTTTTACTTGGATTGACTCTCATATTTTATTGTAATTTGTTACACAGCAAGGCAGGTCGACCACCAACTAGGAGACTTTCTGATCGAAAGGCCTATACACGTCAAAAGCATACAGCAATCAATGCAGCAGCAGATTTTCTCGGTACTTTTATTGAGGAATAATTTCTTGAATTGATTTTCTATTTTAGTATAGTGTTTTTTGTTCTCTATTCAGTATTCACTCTTGTTTTAATTTTCTAAGTTGGGTCAGATGATGGACATGAAGAGTTATTGGCTGCTGCAAATGCTGTCGTTAATTCTGGTGACTTTCTCATTAAAGATTTTTGTTGTTATCTTATTCCAATATATATTTTGTTGTGGAATTTAAAGTTTTATTATTGCTACAGCTCGGTCCTTCTCAAGCTCATTTTGGAGGCAAATGGAGCCATTTTTTGGTTTTTTATCTGATGCGGACACAGCTTACCTAAAGCAACAGGTGACTGCTTGCTTTAATTAGGGGAACGAAGGAATAGATGCTATTATTTTCTTAATAATCGATGTTGATAAATACTTTCTTGTCCCCAAATTGTTTTACTTGGTATACATATTTAGGAGTCAGCTATGCCTCTGTCTCTCCCGTGTATAGTTATGTATTCTAATTTTCTATTGATTTGTCAGGGAAACATCGAATCTAATGTGACGACTCAAGCCCAAGTTCCTTCTGGTATAGATTGTAGCGCTACTGTCACTAATGGGCTTAGGTTGATTGGATGTGAACCAAAGAGTGGAGAATTTCGTCCAGAACATTTAGTACCAGGAGCTGGGGATCATGTTGCAATTCCCCTCTGTCAGAGACTCCTAGCAGCCGTAATTCCAGAGGAGGATTTCAGCAGTGGAAATGACGACCTCACATTTGATGCAGATGGGGTTGAATTTGATATAGATGCAGAGGTGGAATCAAATGGTTTGAGTTATCAATCACAAGATAACTTTCAGTTTGCTGGGCATGCTGCTTTTAATGGTTTTAGGATTACTGGGAGGCCGGAATATGATGAGCCCGAAGGCACACACAAAGCAATCAGTTCGAACTTCAGTCATTCGCAAAACGGTTTTCTTTCAGAGCAAGTATCAATATCTGGATTGGCCTGTTCAGAATCTCAGTACGCGAACATGCACTTAAATGAAAAACTTCTCCTGGAGGTCAATAGTATTGGAATTTTTCCAGAGCTAGAGGTAGGTTTACTTTCCATAATATCTCTCATTTCCCTTCTATCAAGTGTTTCGTTTCATAAGAAGTTTTTCCTTTGAAGCTTTGTCCTTTCAATATTTCAAAGTTATATATTTTATCCTTTCATAATATGGACTGCTATTAATTATATATATTTTTTGCATGATCTTTGTTAAGCCTGATATGACACAGACTGGGGATGAAGGAATCAGTGAAGAAATTAGGAAATTAGAGGAGAAGTACCATGAACAGGTATTTTTATATAGAATTACTCTGCCTTAGTTTCTACTAACTTTTATTGGATTCTTTTTCATCTTCTTACTGCTGCATCAGAACATTCTGTGGACTGGATATGCATGTTTGTCCATCTTAGGCCAGTTGACTTGGATAGGAACTTTAAATAAGTAATCATTTTGGATGAACGAGAACAGTTATTAGTTACTGTGCTTTTGATTTTCTATTGAACTCTGTTCTTGAGGCTTTCCATTTAATGGTTGTCTTTTTGATGTAATAGGTCTCCATCAAGAAAGGCTTGCTGGATAGACTGTTGAGGTCTGCCTCAGTAACAGAGGAATTCCGGGAAAAGTAATTGATCCTTTATCCTGTGATTATTTTGCTTAACCTTCTGTGCATCATTATGTAACTAATCGATTTTTGTTTTGTATAGGGAGCTTGAACAGCGTGCCCTTGACAAACTAGTTGGAATGGCTTATGAAAAGTATATGGTAATCTCTTTAACCTTAAATACGTCTCCATCGTGTTACTTTGCTCTTTATTCAATTATTCCTTGTAAGGTTTCAGGATGCAAATATAGGTGTGATAACTAAAGGGCTAGAGCTGCAATGCATAAATGATCTAGAATAAATCAATAGAAATAAAGACCAATGATAGGCCTTGGTTCTGGTCAAAGGTCTTGCTGTGTTATACTCTTGCTAAGTATTGTATGTAGCTCTAATTTATTTGGGATACTAGTGACTGGGTGAGGTATTCCAAGCATTCTGTCATCATCCTTTAATGTCACCTAGCCTTTGTTCTGGAGGGCGCCTTTTGATAGCTTTATGAAAAGATAATCAGTCAAGCAACCCACTTCATGAGATGGTCACTGGGGGTTTGTAAATGCAATGCTTGCATTCAGAAAAGGTCTGCATCTTTTGTATGCAAAAAAACACCTCAATAAAATGAAATTTTAGAACCTGATATCATTGGAATGGATTTCAGTTCCAAAGTTGTTATTAAATAGTATGCCATCTGGTTAATCTTTTTGGCTCTTGAAATGCTGTTTTTGTGTGTGTTTGTATTTTGTTATGTTATTGTTGCGTTTCTTTTTCTAGATTGTGTCACACTCTTATGTTAATAATACATTTTTGTTTTTATAATTGTCAATTTGGATATGCAAATTATTCTTAAAAAAATTGAATCCTTGGTTGCCTCCATTGGTCTAACGTTGAGGCTGTTTACTCAAGTGTTTCAAATACTGCTGGTGTTCTGCGTTTGACAATTGACTTGCATTGATTGTGGCTGAATTTAATACAAACATTGTTTGACAGAGTTGTTGGGGTCCTAACACTGGTGGGAAGAATACCAGTAACAAAATGGCCAAGCAAGCTGCCTTAGCATTTGTTAAGCGGACATTAGAGCGATGTCGAAAATTTGAAGATACAGGGAAAAGCTGTTTCAGTGAACCCTCATATAGGGATATACTTCTTTCTGGGTTTTCCAACGTTAATGGCATGCGACAATCAGAGGCTATTGCAGAGGGTGAATCCACCAAACCATACGCGTCCAAAGTTTCGGGTATTTCTTTTTATGCCTCTGAATAAAATATTGGGAATGTGCTTTCTGTTCCATATATCTTCCTATGCGTGTTCTTTTACTGATTGTGTAATCAATTTCATAAAGGCACAATGGACTTTGCAGTCTGGATATTTTCTTCCTCTTCTTTGTGATTTTCCTTTGTTCAAATATTTTTTTCGTCTCTTCTGCAGTTTCCGTGGGTTCCCAGCAAAGCCATTCACAGTTTAGTCAGAATGCTGATAATCATAATGTCATATCTTCGGATGTGCTTCCACCTTTAAATCACCTGTCTGAACAAGCTATTGGTAGAGAAGAGACGTGGTCAAACAGGGGGAAGAAGAGGGAATTGTCACTTGATGATGTAGGTAGTACTATTGGAACTTCAAATGTCCCGTCGGGTATTGGAAGTTCTCTATCTAGCAGTGCAAAAGGAAAGAGGAGTGAGAGGGATAGAGATGGAAAAGGGCACAACAGGGAGGTGTTACCTAGAAATGGAACTCCAAAAATTGGTCGGCCAGCAATATCTAATGTTAAGGGGGAAAGGAAAACAAAAACGAAGCCTAAGCAGAAAACAACTCAACTATCTATTTCAGTAAATGGCCTCCTTGGCAAGATGTCGGAGCAACCCAAACCAGCATTGCCTTCTGTATCAAAGTCAGGTGAAATGACTACCAGCGGCAATACCAAAGAGAAGGATGAGTTTGCCTTGGATGTAGTTGATGACCCAGAGTCCATTGACTTGTCTCACCTGCAATTACCGGGAATGGATGAATTAGGTGTCCCTGATGATATTGATGGCCAAGGGCAGGATTTGGGTTCGTGGTTGAATATTGATGATGACAGTTTACAAGATCAAGATTTCATGGGTCTTGAAATTCCAATGGATGACCTCTCAGACTTAAATATGATGGTTTGAAGTTGCTTCTCTGTATAGTCTTGTTCATTATACTATTGACTAATGAAACAAAATTGCTGTTTCAAGAAATGACCAGTGATAAGAATAGTCATTTGACTATCCAGTTCCAGCTACATGCATAGTCATTTGGCTATTGGTCCACAGTTAGGTTATATAGATTCTTTTGTAGGTTCCTGCACAAGTTGAATTTTGAGTGAACCTTTCGGATGTTTTGGATTTTGCTCCTGTATTAAGTTGGTGACTTTGACTGTAAAGATCTTTTTGTTCAAGGCACTAGTTAGTATGGTTTAGTTATTATATCTTAGCAAACACTGTATCCTCCCTGTAGCTGTTACAAATCAGAGAACGATGCCCTCTTGTACATACATTTTATTATTCCTAATAAAATCAGCTCTTAATTCAATGTGTTATCCTCTAGCTAGCAAACTCATCATTAGAAGTTTTGCCTTCTCTGTGTCTATTGGCTTATGATTCTTCTACAGAGATCTTCAGTCTACTGCTAAATATGAAGTAATGAATGCAATTATGTTGGTACACATCCAGGCATGTGACCGCTTGAGGTTTTTGTCCTCTCAAAGTCAACTTCCGGCCGACCTTTTACTTTTGGTGTGTATATTGGTAAGGCTTACTGATAGTTAAAATTTATTTCCCCATTTTTGTTCTGCTACTAGTCATACATCATTTTCTGTAGATTTCAATTGAGTGGGACTTAGTCCATTTTTTTGACAGGATATATATACCTTACCTCGAAAGAATGGCTTATACGTCATCTCTAAGTGCTTCTTTGTGGACCTTGATTTCAAACGGTTAAGGTATGTCATTATTCCTAAGCCTATAGCTACTCACCAACCTTGTTCTGAATTTCTTTTGAACCTTGATTTGAGTTTGCAAGAAAGCCTTGGTTCTATGCTTTTACCTGGCATTGGTGCTCATTCGAGGTTTATTGCTTTTTTATATCAAGTTTGATGCTTAGCTCACTCCTCCAGGCTTGACTTGTGTCTTGTGCCTCACTTGACGCCGGTTTTATTTGGTATGAAACTTGAAATTGTGTAATACCCTTTTTTAGTTGATGCCCTATATATTTGATTATTTTCAGTGCATTTAAGACTTCAAAACCCATTTTTAACGTTTACTTTTTTACTTTTTACTTTTTTCAGAATAATGTTTACTTAAGATTAAGGATTTATCTCACAAGCTTCTATTTACTTGTCTCCCGATGTTGCTTTTTTCAATCTTCTCTTTTTCATTAGTAATAGTGTTTGAAGAGGAATACCAGAACTTTCAAGGACATTGTACACTTTCTATTGTAGTCCCAGTGTTGATGGATGCTCTATTTCCTGAATTGTATTAACTAGTTGCCTTAGTTATGCAAGCTTCTCCCATATAATCATCAGGATTATCATAAATATGTAAAGTTAGGTGCATGCAGCTTAATCTGTATTTCATTAGCAGATGGATTTCGAGGTTATACTGCACACTCACCGCCTTACGTATGTCTCTCTCTAAAAGCATCTTGTTTTTAGCAGTTTCATACTCATTCTTGTAGTTTTCTGTTGGTGGCCTTCAATTTGTGTTCTGTTCAAAGTGCCGAGCTACCTTTATTTAGCTCTGAGTTGATCAACCCTATCTTTCCATCCCAAAGTTTAACTTGTATATATATATATATATATATAGCCAGGTTTTCAAATATTACAAAGGTGAACTGGTGTGCACATTTAACACTAATGTTTCTTTCTAGAGTTGTTCAGGCAGAGGCTGCCTCTATATTCTAGCTTAAATTACAAAAGTTCCCCAGCTTAAATTACTTGGAACTCTGAAGAACAGGACTATTTCTTGAAAGAACAATGAAAAGTTGGTCGGAGGCCAGCCATGGATGGCCTCACTTGACCAGCACTGTTAGGCAATGCATGGCTGGCCTGTTGGGGCCGGACTGATTATCGTTGGCCAGCCGTGGTAGCAGGCACGGTCGTTCTCATCAAACTGGTAAGAAAAGAAAAAGATATAAAATATCTTGTCCACAACTCTGATGTGGTGGGGAGGAGATTTGGGCTCAGGGCCCAAGCTTTGGGGCCTAATCGTCCAAGCGTCATGGTCTAGGTTTAAGGCTCAAAGACAACAAGCCTAGTGTGAGACTTCTGGATTTCTATTTTTCGGTCAATCACGTCATTTTTTTTGCAATTATGGAAAAAGCAGATGCAGTGTGTGAGTTGAGTTGTACGGTCGACATCGATCATTTCTATTTGACAATAGAATGGAAGTTCCAATTTAGTTAGACAAGTTAGAAAATATAAATTATATTTTTGTTTGAACATTGGGGTATCTGCGTGTCAGCCCCAATGGATGATTGGCAACACGCGTCCACAGGTGAGAGGTTGGTTGCATGAGACTCTTTCTCATGGGAAAAGAAAAAAATAGAAAAAGAATCCCACAAGATTGGTACTGGTTTTTTCTCTGTGTGTTTCTCAATGAATATGTGACACAGAGTTTGAGAATGGAGTGCAATGTATCATGTAAAGTGGAAGATAGAAGATAGAAGATGGATGGTACAACACTACACTCCACTCCAACTCCGCCACGTGACTTTTCCCCTCCAAACTCCCTTCAACCACTCATGACGTGACAAGTTTCTAGTCGGTAGCTAAATGCCTCATGGTGGACGGTGTGAGGGGCAAAAATGGAGGTTCCTTATTTTTATGCATCCAAGAAGACCCGAACTCTTTGTCGACTATTAAAAACAATAAAACAACGTATGAGAGTTTAGCATGAAAGATAGTTTGAGGACCGAGTCTTAAACTTGGTTCAACCGAGCGTGAAGATTCCAACTTGAAATTGTTTCTACACCGACATATTGTTTTCGTATACGTGTCTTATGAATATGTTAAAATAGTGGGGATGCCAAAAAATTAAAAAAACTACATATTATATACTTCAAAGAAATTCCATGGAATGGTCTTCTTTCTTTCTAAAGATATGATTCTTGTAAATTGGGGTATTTTTGGCCCACTTTTTATTATTTATTTTTTTTATTTACTTGATAACGTAGGTGCGTAGATGCCTTGCTTTGGTTAATTCCGTTCTCTGACATATCATGAACACGTGTGTTTCTCTTATCAATTTTTTCCAAGCTATATATATATATATATCCAACATTGCACCTTCCTTTTACGGTTCTTCTTGGTCATTTCTCCTTATTCTGCAACACCAAAGTTGCATGCACAGTTTATAGAAACGGTGAGCAAACTCATCAAACACCTTTACTTATTTTGTGTTTGTATTATTTTTGATTTGTTTCCAGAAGTTGATCAAAAGTATATTTGGGAGCTCAGAATAGTTGAGGGATCAGATAAAGTAGTTGGTGACTCAGCTTTACTTTTCCTCTGCTTTTGATGTAGTTGGTTGGAGTTGGTTTGGTTGAAAAAACATGAGAGTTACACAGGAGAGAGAAAACCCAAATTTCAAGAGGCTGAAATGAGTTGCCTCTGATCCAGGGAACTCAAGTTTTCAATGATTTTCCTTTCTGGGTTTCTGTATTTGTTCTGAGTTTCTTTATCTGGCAGCATTTGATTGTGCTGGCTGCAAATAGGACACTGAATCTCACATTCAATTCATTTGATCAAATTCATAAAGCACTGTTTTTTTTTTCTTTCCTATGATCAATGGGTTGGTAAAAAGTTAGAAAAAGATGGCTTTGGTTCTTGTCCTATTCTTTTCTTTCATGTGGTTGATGACAAGGGTAGATAGAGAGGGGTCCAGAGAGGATTGTCCAGAGAGTTGAAGAGGTTGAAAGGAGCCTAAAGTTTTTCTATTTATAGTTTGTAGTTTCAACGTATTCTTTAAAATATTACCACGAACTTAAAACAATTTAGCAAATCAAATTCAATTTACCATTTCAGTTCAGTTGTTTCTAATCCCAAAATAATTGTCATAGGCATCTAAATGTTCATGATATTTGTATTAGATTATAGAAAGATTTATTTCTCACTGAAGACAGTTCTTGATTTTTTGTTCTTTTTAACCAAGACACTTGAAAAGAGAGAGAGAAAGTAATTGCAGACTAGCAAGTTTATTAGTTTAAGAGGGTTTGGAAGGTGAAGGTTGTTGCTGCCAAGTGAAGGAAATCCATGGAGGAGATAGCTCAGGCAGTTGCGGTTCCATATAGGCTAGGTAATTTGATCCATGAAGAGTCAGCAGTAAAAATCCAAATGGAAATGACTGGCCTCAAGTTAATAGCAAATTCACCTTGTGAGTCCTTTTCTTGTGGAAATGAAAGTTACAGAAGCAATGGTCCGCATGATGAAAACAGAGTAGAAGCCACTGTGTCGAATATGCTTGCAGGATACGTGGGTGATCGGATTTCTAATGAAAATATTGTTTGGGGAAGTAAGGAGAACAATAAGTTCAGGCCATCATGTGAGGTTGGCAATGGATCTAGTACTACTTCTGATGCCTGTACATCGCTTATTTCGGCAACTAGGGATAAGAAAATTTGTAGAACAAGCTGCAGTCAGAAAGTTTTCTATTTGGATCGAATACCCCTTTGGGGTTACGCATCTATCTGTGGAAGGAGACCGGAGATGGAAGATGATTTTGCCATTGTACCTCGATTTTTGCAGATTCCTATTCAAATGTTAATGGATGACTGTGGTTTGAATGGCATGAATCAAAACCCCAGTCACTTAACTGCCCATTTCTTTGGCGTGTATGATGGCCATGGTGGTTGCCAGGTATGCCAACTTGACCAAAATTCTGATTTTTGTCCTATAAAATTTCCATATTTCCATTGATAATTTTTCAAGTCGGATTCTTTTAATTAAGTAGATATTGTTCTGTAGGTTGCTAACTATTGTCGCGAACGCGTACATTCTGCATTGGCTGAAGAGATAGATACTGCAAAAGCAGGCTTGCATGACAGAAGTACTGGGGAGGGTTGGCAGGAGCAGTGGAAGGAGGCTTTCTCCAATTGTTTCTTGAAAGTGGATGCTGAGATTGGAGGAGCTCCCAGAGGCACGAATGTGAGCAACACTTGTGCTTCTGGGGACTATGATCTCCAACCTATTGCTCCTGAAACCGTCGGTTCTACTGCTGTAGTCACCGTTATTTGTCCAACCCATATCATAGTGGCAAATTGTGGTGACTCAAGAGCAATATTATGCAGAGGAAAAGTGGCTGTGCCATTGTCAGTAGACCACAAGGTAAGGCCTCTAATTTATATAGTTCCATTATATCTTTTTTATTTTCAGCTCATAACTGAAGTTGACATGTCTAGATAGACTGATTAGCTTTTGTTCTGCTTTTAGCCAAATAGAGAAGATGAATGTGCAAGGATAGAGGCTGCAGGAGGCAAAGTCATCCAGTGGAATGGTTCTCGTGTATTTGGTGTTCTTGCAATGTCAAGGTCCATAGGTATGAGTTCGAAACTCTTGTTATTTTATCTTCCGTCAGAAATGGAACACTAAAATTTACTATGCTTGTATACATGGTTTGAGTTTGAATACGTTAGACCATTCAGATTCAGTTCTCATGCTGATGATGATATTCAATCTTATCAGGGGACAGATACTTGAAACCGTGGATTATTCCGGATCCAGAAGTAGTGTTTGTTTCTCGAGAAAAGGAAGACGAGTGCCTAATTCTAGCCAGCGACGGGTTATGGGATTTCATGACAAACCAGGAGGCCTGCGATATTGCACGAAGGCGGATCCTTCTGTGGCACAAAAAGTATGGTGATACCACCATGTCAATGGAAAGGGGTGAGGGAGTTGATCCTGCTGCTCAAGCTGCAGCAGATTATCTCTCAAGGCTTGCCTTGCAAAAGGGGAGCAAAGACAACATCACTGTAGTGGTGATAGACTTGAAAGCAACAAGGAAGTTTAAAAGAAAAACCTGACTGCAACTAAGATTGGAATCTGAGATATGCCGGTACATTATTAGATGAAGAGTGGCTCAGCCCATAAGTTTTTCACCTGGGTTGGGTGTAGTTATGAAAACTCCTCTGCATAAAGAAATGGTCAATGCTCAAGTATAGCCTCTCAAGATTTTTTTTTCCTTCATTTCTGCATAAAGAAATGGTCAATGCTCAAGTATAGCCTCTCAAGATTTTTTTTTCCTTCATTTTGTCCACCTTTCCTTAGTTCTGGTTATATTAATTTGTGCAAAAACAGAGATTCCAGTAATTTACCACAATGGCGTTCTACTCTTCCTTTCTTATTTTTCTGCCTCTCCTCCTTGGTTGATTGTCTGTCTAACAATTTGACACCAATAACCCCAATCCATCAGGAATGCGTATGAACTTCTGGTAGCTGTTTTCCTTGAGGAACTGTAACAGTCTTATATACCAGTTGCCCTATTGAAGAAAATACTGATTGATAATCACTAATTACAAATGAGGGGGCTAATTGTTCATCACTAAGTTGCTCCCCTATTTATATGTAAACATTCATGACTTGATGAATAGAATAATTACAATATTAACCAATGATTAAACAGTGATTAACATAAGTAAGAACAAATAAAAAGAAAGTCTCATAAAATTTGCATACAGTAGGTTTGATTTTGAAGGAGAAGGGTCTATATCTTTCATTGATGTGCTTCATACTACAATTAGGTCTAAGAGAGTACAAATGAATGGCAGGAAGAGGTATGACTAGTTTGCAAGGAGTCATAAATCCAAAATTCCAAAAAAAACTCAAAAATCATTCGTCTCAATTACAAAAATACACATCCTGGGATAGACAGCACGGAGAGCAGAAGAATCATTCTACGATCCAATTGTTCCCTGGATTTGCAAGGAAAATTACACTTAGTCATCATCCATGAGAGAAAATTACACTTATATGAGCTTATTATAGAAAAGTAAGGAACGTTTGTATTTCAGTTCCACTAATGAATCCAAGATTTGGACAGAGCTCAAGATTTGAACATACCAGATAGGTTTTAAAATGTTGCAAGGGGAGATCCTGCTTCACTGAAGTAAGAGGCAAGGTCAATATTCAAGTCGTCGTACATGTTGATGAAAGGATGTGTCTGAAATCAAACAAAAAGGGAAAAAGAAAAAGAAAACCACATCAGATTGGAAGTATCCACAAAGTCCAGCAAACTTGTAACATCAACATTGAAAGGGTTCAAAGGGTTTCATAGGTCATACTAGGAGATCCTGAGCTGACGATCTATCCTTAGGATCTTTCTGTACGCTGAGATAAAGAAAAGACCCACAAGGTAGGATTAGTAACCTCACTAAATAGAAAGCAAAAAATTGAGATAAATAGAAAACAAACAAATGTCAGCAAATTTAGGAATAGCAACTTCATTAACAGACAACAAATGACTACAAAATCTACCATGAACAAGCAGAAGTTAAATCTGGCCAAAAACAAATAGAAGGTAAATGAACCACAAATTGTGTTGGGCCATGTTCCAATCATTTTGGGAATGGACGGAAAGGACAAAGAAAAAAACAAATAGTGCATGAAAAGAAAATAATACAACCACAGAAAATTACTCGTTCCAAGAATGCTATTACGAGCCTAAAGTTATTAGATAGGAATGTGAAGATTTATATGATTATCAATGTGATTACAAGAGGGAAATGTTCACCAAAATTTACAAGTTAAACAGGCTCACAAACACATAACCAAATGAATAGAAAGCATGGCCATGCTTCCTACTTCTTAAAATGGAGCACAATTATTCTAAATGATTCTTCAGATGGTTACACCAAGTAGCTTATTTTCAGAATCTGGCCAAGTTAGTAATGAATGAGCAAAAATAACCCTTACCATGCAGAAATAAATGAGCAGAACTCCTGAGAAAATTGATCAGAAGGTGCACAAGGTGGTGGTTGTTCAACAATGGCACTCATAAGCTCAAAAAAGCTATCCCATAATTTAGCTTGATCTGGTGGTAAATATGGGAATTGACCTGTTGCACACTCCAGCAGTACTAAACCCAAGCTCCAGATGTCACTTTTGTAACTATAATTGCCACCAACAATTCTCTCTGGCTACAAAACAAATGTTAACAGAAATAGTTAGTTCCATGAGTTGGCATAATAGGCCGGCCTGCACCTCAATACCCCTGGATAATAGAAAAACAAGACGTTTGTTAAAGCGATATAATTGCTGTATTTTTACTCACCGACATATAGTTGTACGTGCCAACAAAAGTATTTGCCTGTTCAGAAGTGCTTGCCTTTATTGCACTTACACCAAAGTCAGTTATTTTAATTTCTCCTTGATGATTGATTAACAAATTAGAAGGTTTGAAGTCCCTGTGAATGATGTGTTTTTCATGATGAAGATACAACAAACCCCGCAGCACCTGCATCAATAAGAAAGGGAGAAAACATGTTTTAATTGATGTTTATCACAAAGACCAAGAGTTTCAGGACTGTACATGAATGTCAGGTAACTTGCCTGCTTACAAATGGAAGCAAGATACGGCTCTGGAATTGTTTTGACCTTTTTCAGAAGATCTGCCAAAGACCCACCATCCATGTACTCTAGGATTATTGAAATGGTACCATTATCATAGAAAGACTGGTAACATACAACAATGTAGGGACATTGTGATGATTGATTAATTTTCAATTCCCGTGCAATCTGCGTGCGAATAGACTCCTCAATATTCATTTGAATTACCTGAATGTGGGAAAATGCATCAAAAAACTACTATAGCAAGGAGAACATGAAGTAAACAATAGGATACGCACAATATCCCACAGGCATATTGTTGGATAGCTCTACAGGCTACAAAAGCATGAAGATAAGCAAGTCCACACAGAATCAACCATCCCAAGCAGTTGAGCCACCCAGAAACGTTACAATTCTTACTTATGTAAATTTCAAAACACAATGGGTATAACAAAGCAATATGAACACAAAGATCTTCCCACTTTATTCATCTCAAACACAAGAATGCTACTTATGGCATAGTTAGGGAACAACTATACATCTTATCTTATGGTACACAAGGAGTAATTTGACTAGGAAAAGAAAGGGCCTTGTAACCTTTAGTGCAAAAAACTGGCCAGTCCATTTGTGTTGAACCAATTGAACAACCCCACCATTTCCTTTTCCAATGACTTTAATCACGTACAGATCTGCTAAAATCATCTGATTGTCTGATGGCTGAATAGGCGGTGGCTGAGCATTTACGTTCACATTTACAACCAAAAAGAAAAACACATCAAAAAAAAGCATTCTTTCTTATATAAAACTTGCAAGTCACAGACTCACAGTGCATGAGCTTTGAATGATAAGCAAACCCCATTTGCCAAATGCTAATAATGTTGATCAGATTGGCAAAACCCAACCCAGTTCACTTCCAAGATTCAATTTTTACATTTCACAAAATTGAAAAAGAAATTTCTGGGGAAAAAAGTTATGATCTTTGAGAAGTATCTTACAACTTCAACTTCTCTATGAGAAACGATCCGAACCCCTTCTCTATTAACCAGGAGATCGCCATCCATAAACGTGCCGCTTTTTGTCCTGCCATACCAAAAAACCCACAACTCAACTTAATTAGATACAATACATATATAATATACAACGCAGAGAATGATAAGAAAGGGAAGGGAAGAGAAGAGAGTTACAGAAACTTAGAGAAAGAAACTTCATCAGAAGGAGGGAGAGTGAGCTTGAGGTTAGGTGCTAAGCTTCCCTTCTTCATGATGACTCTATGAGCTTTGAGCCCTTGAGCTTGTTTGCTTGTTTTTCTGCTTTTGTCCAGAGTCTAGACTCGGAGTTGAAGCGAGTCTCTTGGAAATTTTCAGAATTATAATATCGATCAAGAAGTTTATTTTTAATTAAATAATAATCGTTAAGGAGGGACCACTTGGACTAGAACTAGTGTTACTCCTGTTGGTTGGAAAAGTTTGGAAATTGTTGAACACTCAACCTTTCACACTGCAACTGGGGAAGAAGATGGGACCGTTGACTTTTCTTTCTGCGCCCCCATTTTTCCACATTGTTTCCTTCTTCTTTTTGGCTTTTTTTGGCTTTCTATTTTTATATATGGTAATGCTATTTGGAATGATAGATCATATGGTTGATCAATACATTGAATTGAAAATTACCTTTTTTTTTCAATTGTTTTTTGTTTATCAGACTTTGGAAAGTAAGTGGCTTCATTTCATTATTTGTTTTAGGAAAAATTGCAAAAAGAAAGGTCAAGGCACGCGTGATTGTGAAAATAATATCACGTTCACACGCTTGACTAATATGGATGGGTATAGACTCCAAAAATTATAGATGGTGATATATCTTTGTTCACACTTTTCTTTGAATAGTTGATTTGTTAGTTGGCTTTGTGAGGCCACAACAATGACAACAAAAATATTGGTGCACTCATATTAGATTAGTCGGTCATGACAATGTGTTCGTCTCTTTAAAACAATAAAAATATAAGACATGTGAGTTGACCATGTTTGTCTTTCTAAAATAATAAAAATACAAAACATATGTAAATTAAGTCAATTAACCAACATAAAATACTCACTTTTTATACCGAATGGACAAGAGATTAGAGTAATTGAAAATATTGCATCATCAAGGAGAAAAAATTGGCATACAAAAAAGGTGGAATAAAACAACAACGGCGCAGAGGATAAAGGAAAGCAAAAGTGACCTTTCAAGTGGTAAAGGCCAGGTAGGGTAATAATTGAAGCAGTGTCTTGATTTCTTTTGTTATTGCCATGGCTGCAATTAGAACCCCGGTACCCGACGCTGTTTTAGTTGTCACCTTTTTGGATAAGGATGAAGAGGATTGTCGACACAAGAAAAGAAGTATGATTTTTTTTTTTTTGTTCAAGACAGAAAAGAAGTATGATTGGTATCAAACAAGACAACAACATAAATATAAATATAAGGCGAAAGTTTACTTTTGGTCCTTATAGTTTTAATTTTGTCAATTTTATTTTTGTAGTTTAAATTTTGAGCAATTTAAGGACACGTTTCAATTTCTATCAAATTTCTCCAAATTTACTTAAGTTTTGACCACGTGCCTGTAAGTGAGATATCCCTATTCTATTAGAATATTATTTTATTTATTTCCTTTTGTATAGATATTATGTAATTAGGATACCACTTATTTTCCTAGTCTAACCGTACTAGGGTTTGTAACATTATTATAAATACCTCCTTTCGGAGAATGAAATATATCTGAAAATATTCTACTATATTGTTTGACTTGGTATCAGAGCCAGGTTTCTGGTGACCTGTGTGTGTTGTGCATACCCGTGTTCTACTGTGTGCCCTAATTTCTTTTAGGGTTCTTGTGTTTGTACCTTTCCCGTGTTCCGCTGTGTGCTCTGTCGTGTTCGTGCCTCTACTGTGTTCGTTCATCTGCTTCTACTATGTTTGTGCCTTTGTTGTCTTCGTACATCTGCCATATTTGTGTCTGTGCTGTGTTCTGTTGTATACTCTGCGTGTTTTGTTGAGTTTCTACTATAATCATGGGTGATAATTCCATTGTTGGTGCTACTGCTGCTTCTGCAAATTTACGTGTTTCTGACTCTATTCCAGGTACTGGCTCCAATACTTGGATAATTGACACTGGTGCTTCTGATCATATGACTTATGATGCTAAATTTTTTGATGAGTTGTCTAGTAACACCCGTGACCCATACATAACTAGTGCTAATGGTTTACCCTCTCCAATTACTGGCGAGGGCACCATTTCTCTCACCCCAACTCTGTCATTGTCTCGTGCGTTATTAGTTCCCAATATCCATTGTAACTTGTTATCTGTTGGTCGCTTACTTGATACACTTAATGCTTCTGCTACTTTCTATCCTACCCATTGCTCTTTTCAGGATCTCAAGACTCACGAGGTGATTGGGCATGGTAAACGGATAGGGGGGTTGTATTATTTGACATTACCTTCTACACCAGTTCGTGATCGTGTCGTTAATACTGTTCAACGTTGCAGTGTCAAAGACAAACAGCAAATTTGGTTATGGCATCGTCGCTTGGGACACCCGTCATTTGGCTACCTTAAGCGTCTGTTTTCATCTTTATTTCGTTCCTGTGATGAGTCTAGCTTCAAATGTGAGACTTGTGTACTGGCCAAGAGCCACCGTACTGTTTTTCCCTTAAGTAATAATAAAGCTGTTTTGCCTTTTGAGTTAGTACATTCTGATGTTTGGGGTCCTGCTCGTGTGACTTCTAATGGTTTCCGTTGGTTTGTTACGTTTATTGATGATTGCACTCGCTTAACATGTGTGGTATTTGATGAAGAATAAACAAGATGTTGCCTCTATTCTCCCTGACTTCTGTGCCATAGTTTCTACTCAGTTTCACGCTCATGTGAAAGTATTTCGGACTGATAATGGCGGTGAATATGTGAATCGTACCTTGACCCAGTTCTTTCGTGATCAAGGTATCATTCACCAAACTACCACTCCATTCACACCTCAATAGAATGGCGTGTCTGAAAGGAAGAATCGTCAGTTACTTGAAGTTGCTCGCTCTCTGATGTTGGATATATCTGCTCCCTATCATTTTTGGGGACATGGTGTCTTGGCCGCAGCCTACTTGATTAACCGTACTCCTAGTCGGGTTCTTGATTTCAAGACTCCACTTGATGTGTTGTGTGCTCATACTCCTCCGATTTCGGTCTCTAAGTTACCTCCGAAGGTGTTTGGGTGTGTTGCGTATGTTCATGTCTACTCTCATCAACGAAGTAAACTTGATCCTTGTGCTCTCCGATGCGTCTTTATTGGCTATTCTACTACTCAAAAGGGTTATAAGTGCTATCACCCGCCTACTCAGAAGGTACATGTTACTTTGGATGTCACATTTC